CACACACACACACACACACACACACACGCGCGCGCGAGCGCGTGCGCGCGCTTACTTTTTCAGTCTGCCTGCCTCCCCCTCTCTTGCTGTCCCACTCTGTCTGTCCGTCAGTTTGTTTTTCTTTCTTTCCCCTCTCTCACTGTCTCTCTTTCTCTATCTCCCTCTGTGTCTCCCTCTCTCTCTGACCTTGGTTTGTCGATTCCCAAGGAATTATAAAAATGTAGATCAGTCGTGTGATTGCAACAGATGCGTGATACGGTATAAAAACGACGTGCCCAAATAGCTACCGTCGAACTGATGGACGCAAGTTTCTGGTCTGAAGGCGCCTTTTGGTTTCTCAGATGCGAATCCTTGAATTCTATCTTCCCAACCTTTGCCCTTCAAGGTGATGCGGAAGTGGCAGTGATGCTTGGGCAACAGTAAGATGAGTTCAAAGTCAGAGACCCGTGAAGAGGATATTGTATGGCAACTCGAAACCAGGGCTAATAGCAAGTGATAGGGGTCTTCAAAATGAAAGTATGCAGGGCTTGTTTTAACCAGTCATTTGAATGAAGTCGCTGATCTTTTAAAGTAAAGTACATGTACTTTATGCAAAGTTTTCTTATACTATTTCAGAGCACACGTAGAATCGTACCATGGTCGGGGGACTCAAAATTTAGGTCTTTGGAACCCATATCTCCCCTGAAAACGCTTACCGTATCCAAATGCATGTTGAAGAAGTCGCAAGGTGCTTGGAAGAGGACAAAGATGAATGCTATTGTCAGTGTCAGGACGTCGCTCGTTGCTGGACTTTGGATCCTTGCCGTGGTGGAAGTAACTTCTGGATTCAGATGTGAGATGAAGGTAAAGAAAACAACTAGGATTCGCTATTTTGTTTTGTTTAGTTCTGTTTTGTTGGTTGTTGTTGTTGTTGTTGATGTTTTTCCATATTATTCTATGCTGTTTTTGTGTGTTCTGAATTCTAAGGCCCTTCTAGACATAAAATGGTCATTTCAAAGTGGTGCTTGACTCCGTGGTGTTTCTGGAGTCTGTTATGTTGCTACATCAGAACGCTCAGACAGTAGATAGGCGCGAAATATTAGGCAGAGATCATGTATCACGTAAAGGTACCACTCCTACTCCAGGGAGCCGTGGCAAAATCTTATGATAGCGACACCCCATCAGCAGGGGAACTATGCCACTTGTTGGTGCTCAAACTGTCTAAAACTTCCCATCTCTAACGGTTGAAATTCAGATTAGCTTTTCACGGAAATTGTACAATTGTACAGATGTGACTCGGCCTTGGAGAGATACCGAAATGATAGTGAAATCCTTCAGTTCTTTTCGATTGCTACTCGAGATCCGACATTTGAACATTGGTCATTGAAGATGTGTGACCGTATGACTAATTCGTGGTCTCTGACGATGACAGGGGAAGTTAGTGGAAAGAATCGGTTTTTAAGTGACACTTGCTGGCCCGTGGAGACAGAATTGATAGTCGTTGAATAGACCGCCATACTAAGGAAAGGTGTGTCTTGGCCAGAGCTCACTGAAGACACACACACACACACACACACACACACACACACACACACACACACACACACACACACACACACACACACACACACAAATAACAAGTCCTTTCCAAATTTCCATTGAACCTCGGGCTTTCCTTTTTGACACCACTCAAAGATGAAGCGGTGTGGCTCTCTTTTACTTAAAAAAGTAACAGTTACTTAGTTTTAGTAGAGGTTTTACGGCGCTCGCAACTGCATAAGGTCATATGAGCGCCAGAAGATTAGAGCTGTTACAAGAAACAAGTAAGCGACTATCTAGCTCTACCTAACAATATCCTTTTCTTTTTTTTCGTTTCTATTCTTTCTCTTTGTGTTAAATTTATCAAGCTTAAACAACGAATCGGGGGTTCTCGTGGTCGTGCAGTTGCGGTGTTCGCCTATTCGCCTCTCATTCAACAGGTCCAGGGTTCGAATCCGTAGGCCTATAGTGATGGAAAAATTGCTTCTCTAAAATTTTCTCCTTCCATCACCTTTCCTGTTTTCTAACAATTTTCTGTCGTCTGCTTTCGTCTCCACTTTCTGCCCCCCCCCCCTCATCTCCTTTGCCCCCTCCTCTGGGCTCTTGACTCTTTCTGCAGTCTTTCTACTGCTACTCCTTGGCTCCTTCTTACTGCTGTTAGCCACACATTTGATCTTATGGAAGGTAAGATATAACACCTAGCCTTCTCGGTAGAGCGAAACATCTCGGAGGTCTCTGTGCAAGTTGCGCATGTTAAAAGATCTACTGGTGGTCCAAAATCGATAAGAGTAGGTTTCGGCCGCCACCCGGGCAAAATTCAAAATTTCATACAAATTGAAAACGTTTGTGTCCCGCGCACTCGACTTTATGCAGTTGCGAGCACCGTAAAACACTTACCACCCCCCCCCCTCCCCACAACCCCGCCCCGACCCAAACGAATAACGCTTTGCACTCTTTTTTCCTCTATGTAGGGCGTGCAAACGTACTTGGTCAGGTCTGCAGAAGGTATGTTGTTATAGAGTTACAATTAAGCAGTTTTGAGAGACTACGCTACCTTAGAAGTACAAAGCTCTATCTGCTCAGTACCTAGTTTTGAGAAAGTTGACGTCAAAATTGTTGGATTTCACAGCAAGTCAAGGTTTTTCGAATGCAATTCTTTGAATATCTTGATAAGGACTCCGAATAATCAAATGCGCAGATAGAACATTTGGTTTCTGACCACATGGTCTTGGTAACGCAAAACAGCCAAAATGTCAGATAGAACTTTATAATTCTGAGGTAGCGACTAGTTTATAAGTACCATTTTTCTCATCTAATTTGAATTTTGTATTGATAAGAAACTCTAGTGCGTCGAAAATTTGTGGCACCACTTATTCTCAAATATCTTTTTAACGAGTGAATCAATGTCACCCTTACTTTGCGCAGTAGTTTGTATCAATTAGTCTTAACTAAGTCATATTTTTCCTCAACAATTGAGGCTAGAATAACAAACTTTTCTTCATAAATTTATATAAAATACTACAAATCTCCGTCCCTCGGAAAATGGGATTGTTCATAGCACTTCCCGCTTCTCTCGCACATTTTGCATACGCATATGGCCTACGTCACAGCTCACCAATGACCCTTTTTAGTGGCAAAACTAGTTACAAGAAATTAATTTCGTAGTGAACACTTTTTTGCCTTAAAAGTTCCCAAAACATGCGTTCAATAAAGATAATCTCACGGTTAAAAAAAAGAGAGAGAGACTTGCTTTTGAAAGTGATATTGTCCAAGCTGTAGATCTAGATCTAAACCTTTTAAAATCTGTAGAAACCACCAATTTAGATTTTGTAATTAGTATTTATAAAGGAATTTTGAAGAATAGAGCTAACGAGTGTTTATAAAAATATTAATCTGTTAAGACAAATTGATCCAAGTCACTGCGCAAAAGCTGAAGAGTTTATGTTCAATAGTTGAGGAAATATCTGACAATGAGTTGCGCAACGAATTTTTGACCGCACTATAGTACAGAAACGAGAGACAGTGTACAACACGTTAATTAAGCAGTGGAAGTTAAAGACTGGGCTAAGTGGGGTTGAGAGGTCTGGTCATGATTTAGGCTATATTTTGTTATCAAATCTGATAAGCTTTCAGTCAGCATATTATAGGCCTGCAATGTGTTCTATTTTAGTGACAAAAGGAATGTGAGAAATCATCATCATCATCATCATCATCATCATCATCATCATCATCATCATCATCATTTATAAGAACTTTGTAAATGAAGAGCTCAGCCCACGTTGCCGAAGATGCGGCCATGAAAAGGAGAATGTCAAACATATGTTTGAATGTCCAACAACAATGGCAATTCAAATGGGGTTTTTTGGACGAGTGGAGGTGCCCCTAAGTATATTGACAATGGAGCCGAAAAAAAAGAGCCTCGCTCTCGCTCGAAGATTTCTTCGTGGAGTCCGCCAGGCCCATTAAGGATACAAAAAAAACAACATCATTATCATCATCACCATCATCACCATCATCATGAAGCATTTCTCGTGCTTCCCTTTTTTGCATTTCGGAAAGACTGCAAGTTTGAAACGTCTGGTGGTGAACCCAACCACCAGGGGGAAGGTCCCCCGCCATTTGTTCCTCTCCGCTTGACCAGTTGCCTGGACCACAGCAACATGACCACTGGGACAGCGCAACGATTTCTAAGCATGGAGTGGTCATCTTCGGGTGGTATGTGTATAGAATAGCAATAGATAGATAGATAGATAGATAGATAGATAGATAGATAGATAGATAGTTAAATAGATAGGTAGATAGATACATGAATAAATAGATAGATAGATAGATAGATAGATAGATAGATAGATAGATAGATAGATAGTTAAATAGATAGGTAGATAGATACATGAATAAATAGATAGATAGATAGATAGATAGATAGATAGATAGATAGATAGATA